TATGCAAAATTTTAACATTCGGCCGACTTGGATACCAGAAATTGATATTATTAAGTTCGATTCGACCTTCCACATGTGATGGAATTAATCCATGCGGTGACATACAATTGATATTTGGTTCCTAAAAAAGAAAAAATTACTTCCTTTATTCACCTCAAATTTGCTAAATTAAACAAAATAAACAGGAAAGAACTATGCATATAAGCACAAAAATAGTGAAAATTATAATTTTCTAAGTTATTTCTATTGATTTTTTCCTGAATTTCTTCTACACATTTTGTGGAACCATTTGTTTTTATCTTAAATTTCAAATAATTTTATTATTTACCAAGTCAATAATTTCAAATATTTCTCCAGCAGCAAGTTTTGCAGCAGTGAAAACACCAAGTTGCGGTATTGCTTGACCTAAATGAATTGCTCCAATCATTATAGCCCAAAATACCGCAAATACAGTGCCTGGCGTAATTTTACCTTCGGTCACCAAATTTGTACCATACCTATAAATTTTTTGAGGCATATTTGTTTAGTAGGTAAATTAATTTAATATTCAATATTATAATTAACGAGCAACAGTGATTCATTTGAACTAAAAGAGAGCATTAATTTGTCATCTTTTAGTAAATTTTTAAAAGTTAGAAAGTTTTAAAAATTTTGATTTATGAGATATTTAGCAATTATGACTTTTTTTGCCAACTTTTCGAATTTTATGATAATTTGATGATACTTACCAGAAAACAAATCCCATAGAACCAAAGATAACAAAAATATAAAAACCCATAAAAATACCAGTAATAAGCACTCCTTTTATACCAATTTTTTGCGCATAATTCAGACGATCTCTGTATCTAAAACTGTTCACTTTTTCATAGCAATTTTGAATTTCAAAACTAATCTTTGAAAAATTGAAAGTAAGAAGTGATTCATGTGTTCATTATTTGTCACTAATCCATTTGTCTCATTAAGAAATAATTAAATATGTTTCAATCATTTTGAATTACTAGCAATGCCCTAATGGTTATGTCATGGAAATTTTAAAAAACAATTAGAAACTAAATGCGAAAGGACAAATTTTTATTTTATTAGACAAAATTGTATGTAAAAAAAAGATTCAATCGTTAATCACAAAAAAACAAGAAATACCTCACAACTTCAGCATACTGAGCATTGAAAGAGGTAACTGTTCGAATGTTACTGATAACTTCATTAGCAACAGCGCTCGCTTTGTCATATGCGCGCATTTCTCGACGTGTCATTGTTGATAGCGCCTACGGACACAATACACTTATTAGATGCCTATGAATATAACAATTTGTTTATATTCCGAAGAATATAAAAATTTTGCAGTCATTAACTGGCATTAGCTAATTTCTGCGCTATCACTTATTTTGATTACTCTTTACACAATTTGTAAAATATAACTGAATTTAGCTTAAAACACAGCTGAACTTACCTTAAAATACAACTGAATTTACCTTAACATGCAATTAAACTTACCTTAACTGATCCAAACAACAGTATTATAATAAATGGTGCAGCAAGCAGTATCAATAAAGTCATATTCCAGCTAGAAATGAAGAGAAGTTTTATTTTTTTGAGTGCTATTAAGTACTACTAACTACTGAAATTCGAGCATTATTTATTGATAAACTGGAATTTTTATTTAATTCTACTGTGCTCTTTCAAAGATTTGTCTAAGCAGAATAATATTACGATAATATTAGTCAGATTTTTCAGATCATTTAGCATTGGTCAAAATTATTATAATGATTTCACCTATAGTAGAGACCGATGATAATGCCAAAGATAAAATGTGTAGAAGCTTGCAAAAGAATACCAAATTTGTCTCCTATACCATCCTTGATTCGATCTATTCCACTGCAATTACATCAAATTTTAAATCATAATTAGATCTGTTTTTTTTTTTTTTTTTTCTGATGAGTTTTATAGTTTTACTAAAACCTACGCTAATAATTTATTAGTAAGTACGCCAGCTTCATTTTTATCATACCAATCCATTTGTTGCCTTAGCAATGCAGCAAAAAATCTTTTTCGAATTTCATGAGCTTGACGTTCACTTAGAGTAAAGAAGCAACTCATCTGTAAAAGATAATTAAATTGTGATTAGATATTAAATGCGAAAATTAATTATAGCAGTGTAAATTATGTGGATACTAAAGGAATTGCTTATTTTATTTAATTGAATGAAATCCAAATTTTCATTAAACATAACAAATTGGAAATTGAATAACATATTTATAATATATAAATGTGATCATTTAATTCTTCTCATTTTTCTCGAACTTTTCAGAGATATTTGTTGATTTAGAAGTGAATATTGTTAAATGCACTTTGATAAGATTTAAGATAAACAACAATGAATTAACTAACCGAAGAGAATCTGATCAAAAATAGAAGAGTAGCAAGTATTGCATAAAAGTACACATAAGTAATTACCGAGTGTGTATATACCTCTATATTGAAGGTACCATTTTTAAGACTTGCTTGACCAGCTATTAATGCATCTGTCATTCCCTGCAGTTTTTTTTTTTTCTTTTTTGAATAATAATTTAAAATGTACTGTCATTTCGTGCATCTTTGTTCTTTTAATGTTAGTTTAAAGATCAAAATTTATTCGTCACATGTTTCACTGAGCATAGCTCAGAATGAAATTAAATAAGTAATTTTAAAATTTGTCGATAGTAATTTTCTAATCTATAATATATTCCTTCTTTGTTTTGAGATTAATCAAACTAAACTTTATTCTGAATTAATGAATAAAAAGAAAAAAAATAGGATAATTGACAGTTTCCGATTTAATATCTTTGTTTAATATTTTAGCAAAGGTTGGAAAGCTTCTTATTGTAATTCATAATTTACCCTGAAGAAGACAGAGCTAACTGGTGATATGGCTCCGTTCACTAGTGATAATGTGATACCAAACGCAAGCAAAATGTAATCACGTCGTTCAGCGTATCGTAGCTGTGAAATTTTAAATATTGGTAAGATAAGAAATAAATGCTTTATCGTCAACTCATTTTGTGGTTACTTGTCAGTGATCCATCTAATGTATGTGTATTTGTTTGTATTACATAACAACACCGAATGAAATTAAAATTTTCAACACAAATAGCTAAATTAGGTCACTGTTGTATAAAATTCAAAAAATTTTACAAATTAATAAAAATAAAATTGATGGAACGAAATCGAGAATAAACTTTTCTTGGTTAATTGTAGAAGCCAGCTATTCGTTGAACAATTATATTAGACGAAAATAGATTATGATAGAAGAAATTAATTATTATGTGTTAGGAAATTTCGAATGAAAGGAAAGAACATTTCGAGGGTAAAATTTATTTTAAATTTAATTTTTTTTGTTTCAAAAATTTTTTGATTCTAAGATACTTTTTGTAAGTGTAAACAACTTTCAGCCATAAAATAATAATATTTGTATGATCCAAATGGACAAATTTGATTAATAAAGCCACAAAAACTAACGATCTCAATGAATGAAGCATGTCGAATTAGTTTAGTGTCACCATCGAATTTATTTTCCCAGCTCGATTTTTTCTCCATTTAAATCTCTTCCGAGCAATGTTCAGTATGAATTTGATGCAACCGCGACCTGGTTTAAAAGGGAACAAAGTTTTCAGTATAATCAAAATTAAATTTCTGATCAGATGGGCGGTAATTGCAAGTCAAAATCTATCAGAACCATTTGACGCCGTAGCATGAAGCACAGAGATAGGAGTAGCATATTCATTTTACATCACACCTTGACAGCTATTTAATCACTAAATATTTGAAAAACAACAAAAAAAAAAAAATAGTAACTTGCACTCATATATGAAATGAATTAAATTAATTATTAGTATTGAAGAAGTAATGTAAATTTTGATGAAATGTTATTAAAAATTTGAATTTAACTGAGACGAAAAGTGATGAAAGGAGTTAAATAAAAAAGAAATACCGCTTTGCTAACAAATTCAAGCAGTTCTCGACTTGTGTAAACAAATCACATTTTTCACAATGGCTAATAGAATTCACAAATATTTTCAGACATTTATTTGTCAATGGAATGGAAAAGACTAAAACAACAAGTACTACTGATATCCATGTTAATAGTAATTTCATTTCAAATAGTTTAAATTATTAGCTAAGGAAATGATATTATCACTTCCTTCAATGCATCACTTTTTTTTAACCATAATTCTGTCATCTTATTGCGCATTTCAATTTCTTTTCGCTATTTGGTTACCATATATTGTGGATAGATCGAAAGAGAGAGACAATCAAAAATGAATTTCATAGAATATTTCGATTCGCAATTTCTCATTAAATAAATCCTTCTTAACTGCATCGAAGATTTCCGTCGATCCTTTCATTATATCTAAACCATATCACTTCCATTATCAATTCTTCAACAATTTTCGAAATTAGCTGCTACTGAATTCCTTCTTCACAACAATGCCATCTGCGAAGCCGAACAAAGATGAAAGGCGGTGATGCTAAAACGAGTATACGAATGTCAAAGGGGAGAATTGCTGTGTCTGTCATCTACAGTTTACACAGTATCGCCATTTCTGGTCTTTTTCATGTGATCGATAAACATGATCAGTAGCAATTCTTTATTTCGCTTTAATATAAATCTCATAAAATGATAATTAATTCCAGGACATAATTGATATTTCAAATAATTCTAATAAAAGCAAGAGCAAGGCTAAAAGTTATGGTTTAGAATTTGCATATTTAATAAATTATCAGTAAATAAATGCTCCATATCACCACTAATTTTGATTCAAATCATTTATTTTCATTTCTCGTATTTGCAGAAGAACTTATTGAGTTTTAATTCTTATATTAAAAATAAACATCTGTTAACTGTAAATGAATCTCTTAGTTGTCCTCTTTCTTAGCACAGATAGCAAATTGGCTTTTATAGTTTATTTATGCATTTTATGGATGAAATTTCATAAATTTAAGCCATATGAATGCATTCAATTTCAAGAATTCTTCGGTGTTTGCTTGAGCAATCCCTCACCATAATCGAAAGCAATCTTTTCTTCATCTGTTTCTTTAGGTTCCCTTAAGTTGACATGTAGACCTGATCATAAGAATATCATTAGAAAAAAAAAAATTTAATGAATAAATTTTATAAATAAAGAATGCTGTCCAAGTGCTAAATATTTTTGATATTTTTACAATATATTTGAAAATAAAAACAATTACCAGTTCCCTCTTGTATGGGATTCAAAAGAATTGGTTGATAGATGGAATCATTTTTGTAAAAATTTCTATTTGCAGTCAACACTGTTAACACATCCTTTGGTAAGCAGTAATCGCAATTCGGTAATTTCGAACCGGATTTATGCATTTGTTCCAGGAATACATTTGCCGTGGAGCTTTCCGACTTTTTGCTTTTCGTTTCCATAGCATTTGCTTCTTTCCTATCTGCATTCACATTCGAAGGCGGCATTTGAGGCGCTGTTGACGTAGGATTACTCGATAAGGTGGTAGAAGTTACGGAGTTGCAAGTGTTACTCGCAGTACACGTTTGAACTGATGTTGTTACTGGTGATTTGATTGCTAGAATATTCCCTAGTGAAATTAAATGCAATTCGCATTTACAATTTGTAGGATTCACAAATTTCATCCATCTCAACAATATTAGTTTTGAAACTTGAATCTTTTTTTTTTTCTTTAAATCAAATTGTGACTTATCACTAAAACAAGAATCAAACTTTATATCAGCAATACTTTTTTTTATAAAAATATGAATGATTGGTATATTTAACGACAGTTGACAGAATACTGTCACTTAAATGAATACAAAAAATTCTTGCAACATTAATGCTGTAAACCACGAAATTATTCGTTGTCACCATTCCACCTTCTACTGTATGTCTTCTAGTACTAATGTCCTGATTGGCAATGATTGATTTTGCTATTGTCACACCACAAATTCGATCTGTCAACTAACTTATTTTCGACGAATTCATTTCTAATTGACGTTCCATTGTAAATTTAATTGTGTTGTTTGCCTTTACACAATCACTTATCATCTGTAATCTTGGTAATTTAAACGAATAAGTGTAATTAATAAATTTATTTGAACTATTTTCATCAATAATTAGTCATTTATCGCTTAGAATAAATAATTAAGTACCAACTCTGAAACTATAAATGAATGAATATAAGCATCTGATGCATCCTTCTGATACAAATCTCGACATTCAACCTATATCAATATTGATAGCGCTAATCATAACATTGATAAAGAAACCTGTTTGGCGACATATTTATTCGAAATTGGTTTATTGTTTATTTTGACCAATATATCACCTGGTCTCAGTATTTTACTAGCAACACTACCATTTTGTACCATACTAATAACTATGCGACCATAACTATCCTAAAGTTCAAAGGTATCCATCTCATAATTATGAGTAAAAAAAAAAACAAAAACAAAATGCTACGTAGATATCTGCATATATTTATTTCCAAAAATCTTTATTTGCCATTGCACAAATATAATTTGTAAACTTTAGTGTTTTTTTACTTCTCCCTCTCTCTCTCTCTCTCTCTCACTCACTCTCCCTCCATACTACTGAAATTGTTTCTGAAAGATCAAAGATATTACAGAATTACTCATGAGATTTCAGTATTTTTCAGCCTATTACAAATTTCATCTTAAAAAAGATAAAAAAATGAAGAAGTTACTTCATGAATAAGAATACCCAAAGGTACATCAGCTTCTCTCCAATATATATCAAGCTCAAAACTTTCCCAGCCAGATCTTGGCACAGGTAACATTTTCATATGACTGGAATACCATTCTTTTCTTTTATATTTAATTTTTATTTTTCGTCCAGTTGCTGCACGTATCGCTTCGATAAACATCGGTGTATTCTTTATTGGCTGTAATGATTTATACTTTTGTTAGAAATATTCAAAATTTTCTAAAGTTAAGTTTTTTTTTTTTTGATACATCTCACTTGTATCGATGTAACTCAGTAAAAGAACAACTCGCAAGAAGAGAAGAATATCTCCTCTAATAAATTAATATTTAAACTCGAACTTTATTATCGACTGCGATAATTGTATCATTAACAAACAGTTTGCCAAGCATTGCTGAGCATGGTAGAAGTTGCATTATTCTTGGTGGCGTTGTTTGTGATAAAACCACTCCGACAGCCATGTTTGGCTTCACGTAAATTTCAAATGATGATTCATTAATTGCATCTGATGGCTCTTTTCATAGATTAATGAGAGTATTAGCAAGTTCAATTGAAAATTGGCTTAATTTTTATGAATTTTAATTAGTATAGTTTGACTCGACTAATTCAATTCAAGTAACCATGTGAATTAAATATATTTTATTCCATTCTTTACTCACCATCAATAGCAGAGGTTGTGGATGCTGCATCCATTTATATATTTATACTCTACCACCACTCTTTGGCAAACATATTAACAGTGAAGAAAGAAATATCTATCAGTTATTTTTATTTTGAAGGAATTAATCAACAGTTTACATAAAATTTTTATGCAAATGTCATACAACTGGAAATGGATATTTTGGTTATCATTCCGGACACATTTAACAGTACACATATGATAAAATATCAGTACTGTGAAATCCCAATTTTAAAATCATAATTGATCAGTTTAAAGTGTTCTTTTAAAAACAGGCCGATTTACAATCGCATCCGCAACCGTATGCACAGTGATTATTCTCTTTGAACCAAACAACCATATGTTCACTATGTCCACCGTGACCACATAAGGCACATACCGTTAGCATACCTGGAAAACATGAAATCAACCACCGAAATATGCGTTTAGTAAAAAGTAATGAATCGTAATAAGAAAATGAACTGGAGCTACATGCAAAGAAAAGCAAACTTTTCGAATGCTTTACTATTTTTGCTTTTAAGCAAATATTCGCAAAATATATAAAAAGATAAATACTCATAAAAACTATGCATATTTGTTTTTTTTCTTTTTTTTTTGTCCTTCCAATCCCTTGAAATCATACCAAGAAAAATTACCGAGTACAGGAAGTTGACATAAGGAGCAACGGAATTTCCAGTGGATGTGACATTTATCACATTTGAAACGCAGCAATTTATTATTACATTGAGGACATGAGCTTTGAACTAAAATATGGAACTTTATTTTCATCCACGAGAAGAATAGAAAAATCTAAGAATTAGTATGAAAGATATATTAAAGTATATCAAACTCTATAGTAATCGTGATGTGATTTCCATTAGCTATATCCTCAGTTATTTTGCAATCTCATAGTGCAATAGTAAGTGAGTTGATGAGAAGAATAAAGAGAATTGAGTGTTACTTATTAAGTTATGGTTTACAGAAAATTTTATTTCTGAAGCCTTTAAAATTTTGTAAATATCACTGCCATATCCTATTAGTAATTCAGAAATTTACCCTGTAGTGGCGGTGAATAAGGTGCAGTCTCACTATATTTCATAACTTCAGCAGCTTTTGAAAACATCCTCCACCTAAACAGTAAACTAGCGTACTGATGGCGTACTTCATCGAATTGATCATTGGAAAGAGGATCTAAGAGACTGAAAGTGACATTAATTAGTTCTCACTTCCAAATTTCTAGCAGTAAAAAAATCAAAGAGAAAAATAAACATGAATGTAGCATTCGAAGAACGAAATATTTCATACTTTTATAGAAAACATTTGCATTGTGAGAATCAGATATTGTAAATAAGAAAATGTTTCAAATGTTTGATAGAAAGAAAGCTCGGCATTGTTATAATTATAACAACCATTCTTTTTGTTAAATAGTACAAAACATAAAGAAAATATAGATCATTCTTCAGGCTCGATTTTAAAAAACATTTTCACTAAAACAGTTCATTTATGGATGACTTAAAATAAACAGAACTTTAAAAAAAATTCCACGTTGGCACAAACCTGCATAAATGAAATTTATTTTTAGTTGCACTCGAAACAGAATCCTGTTCAGACTGTTCTACAGTTTCCGACATCACTGATTTATGTGATATTCGATGACTAGATGATATCTTTCTGTTTTGTTCTGCAAATTAGAATCAAAATAAAATCAGTCTTCACAGATTAAAGTGGAGATCTTATCTTATTTGAAAATAAACAAGCTCAATTTTCTTTGTTTTGTTAATCTTTATTATCTGCACATCATGAAATGCCTAACTTCATAATCAATAGAATTAAATTAGGTTGGAAGAAAAACAATGAATGAACTTTTGAGGTTCTGCATCGATCGATGACCAATTAGGGCATTCTGAAATAAAGAAGGAAATTTCTTCGCAGCTTTCGATACGGGAGTTGTTAATGGTGGTTGTTCTCTTATATGTAGTCTAAAATGGGAATATATATGCAAAAGGAACAAAAGAATGAGAACAAAAATAATGTAGAAAATATCGGAAATCTCGGAAATATACTGAGTGACAGAAAAGAATTTGCCAAAAATAAAATTCAGGACAGTGTTTTTCTCCAAATTCTATGATTTCTTTTACAATATTAAACTATCTTCAACCTTTACAACCAGCTTGAAAACTAGTTTAGCAAACATTTGCAACTTCGACAAGCTACTGTTCTTATCTAGAAAAATTACAGCAAATTACTTTTCGTTTTCTTGTTGCATGATTCGAAAGTTTGAATGTAATTTAGCATTCGCATTGATTGTATTGCATACCGAACTATCCTGCAATTGCAAAATTTATTTTAAAATAGCGAAATTCAGATGATTAATTCTTAGTGATGAGAGAATGTTAGAGCAGATAAAAAAGCTTACTAGCAACAGTTTTTGATTTGAAAAGTTCTCGAAATTGACATAGCGTGATGGAAAAAAGAAAAAAAAAACCAATCACAAACAGAAAATCAATAAAAAAAAACAATAAAAATTATGAAATAAAAATCAAAAGATGACCAGAAAAGGAAAAACCCCAAGTTTAGTAACTGAAAACCCCTACTTTTAGTTCAATAATATTTCATCATCTCTTGTAAAAATCTATCAGGCGATATGCAGAACCATAACAATGCTATTACAGTGTCAACTTTTGACTATGAAGTATTTTCAAGAAACTTTATTAAACTATTAGAAAAACAGTGCTATGGCTGCCAAATAACACCAGATTTCTGCATATTTTGTAAAACCATAAATTTTTAAGACTTTATGTCTTCAGATAGGTATATCACTATGCTAATTTCATATTTTTCAGCTTATTGTCACTACAGATTCTAACAAAAAAAATGTATTTTGAACTTACAGAACTTATGTCATAAGTACTAAGTGAATGTTCATGGTGGGCAGCATACTTCGGAGTAGTTGATGACTCCATACTACTATCTATTTCAAAACACCGTTTATATCGCAAACCTAAGACGCAAATTATCACTGCAGCAGTTTGATAATCATTTATACGCGCAAAGTAATCCAATCTGAAATATCAAGGCTGGAACAATCATCCAAAATATGCTTAAATTACAACAAAAAACAAAAGGTTTTTTTAACGGCATTCCAAATCTCAGTTTTGAAGAGAATGTAAAAGATACAGAGAAAAATTTACAAACTATTAATTAATGAACGCCCGAACGGATGCACTGCTACAGCCATACTGTCTTCTTCAGATATATTTTCCTCCGATGAATCGAGATCTAACATGTTAGTCATTGTTATGCACTGATCAAGAGGATAACGTTTACGCCAACTGAAATTATTTTGTTAACTTAAGATGGTATCTGAAACAATATCGATCATTTTTCAATAACAATGTGTATGAACAGATCTAAACTGTATTGTTTCTATCATTCACATTGGCCTGGTTGTTTGTCTCAGGCCTACCTCGGTCAAGATGCTGGCACAATCAAAAGGAAATGTATCCCAACAATATAGAACTATTATTCGCTTTACGTAGATTTCGAGTATTTTTAAAGTAGAAATAAAAAACTATAAACTGTGGGAATCTTTTTCGTGTAGAAGTGAAAAAAAAGCTCGTTTGGATGCTAAAAAATAGGAAGGTAAAGATAAATGAAAACGAAATAAAAAATAAAAAGTTTAAAAATTAGAAACTAGATTTATAAAAAGAAACAGATGGAAACTCCACGACAGAAAGTGAAGTTACAAACTTCGAGAAATTTTGAGATAAGAACTTATGAAACTTTAAAGCAGAAAACATGGTTACCTTTAGAAATATCCCCATAAGATGCAAGTCTTTTTAAAATATTGAGAATAAAAAAGTTACAAAATTTTATTAAGGTCTGTTTTAATAAGGTCATTAAGGTCGGTATAATAATAATAATAATAATAATAATAATAATACCAAGGTTAGACAAATTTAACCTTGATTTTCCCATTCGTATGCATAGCTCAACGATTTGCCATATGTTTTCCAAATCTTTGCGTCCTACTTCCTCCACTACTTTTCGATTCCATAAACATAATTCCAATGCATTAGCACCAATAAGCCTAAATATATTCACTAGCCATTGCTAAAACATTCTTATGTAAACCTAAAGTAATTTTATGTAAGCTTCCTCGAAGTAATAGGAATAGGGGTAGTCAAGTTAAAGAAATTTCAAAATTATTATTTAATTAAGCAATAAAATGACTGAAAAACAAGAGAACAAACCGATATTTACGAGCAAGATCTTTGCTAACTGACATGAGCACTGATACATCATAAATAACAACCACAGATACTGCAGCACAGCCATCCAGATTATGATGATCTGGAACAAGAAAAATATTAAATTAAAAATAAAATTAAACAACAGTAAGTACAAAAAAAAAAAAAAAACGAAGATAAGCACATATACAAAATCGTCAATTTAACATATAAATTCAAAAAAATTTCAAAAACAATATATTTTTCGAAATAATATACTAATAAAAGTTACCGTCAGCAAGAACATTTGTCCCTGAATTACCTCGACGACGAAATGAACGAATATTTTGCGTACTGTTACATATATTACTCAACACTGCCAATGACTGCAAACAATAGCTCTATCTTGTTGATTTCTTGATTTATAACTTGTTCCATCTTATTGGAATACTTATTAACATTATTAACAAACACACTTTAACATACATTACTTGTACGCATCTCTAGTAGTGAAGATGTTCCACTGTTTGCAATATCAAATTTTTGATGAAAGAAAGCCATGTTACGGGAGAAAAACGGAGTACTCGAGATCGACTGGCACAATGGTGAATTACATTTCTCGTTACCATGAAAATGAGTATGCATATCGTCCAGAGCTGCAATTTACTTTCAAAATTAACATGATGTATTATTCAAGAGTCAAGTAAATTTGAATTTAAATCCGAAAAACTAGAAGATTTTACAAGTCTAAATATGAATTCGAGAAACTGATAGACTCTTTACTAATATATACAAATTTTATAACT